TGCTCTAACTGAGTGCTCTGAGTGTCCATAATATCTCTGTAAACTCCTTTCTTTTTGATGATATCATTACTCCTAACCAAGTCTCTTAGAATGTCTCAAGGTATTTCCGGGTAGGCGTCTCCCAACTGGCTGGTGAACCTCCAGTCTTCTCCATCAGGAGGTCCATTCCCTCAGGTTGTAGTGAATAAAGCAAGTCTTAATTAGGCATGAGTCTCTGGATCTTCTGGATCATCATTTTTCAGAAATCATCTTTGAATGGTTGTTGAGGACCATACCATAGTAATACGCATTCTGGACACCTGGCACATTAGAAGCTTGACTGCAAGCTAAATAACAAGTATAAGCAATAAAATCAAGCATGCCAACCTTTATAAACCAACTGAAGATACCACTGAACCAATCTCTAAAACTCCCTAATCCTTTAAAAGGATTCCATCCATCCTCTGCTATTTGTCTAGCCTCTTGTTGTAGATTCTGTAGTTTTGTTAAATGTTCTTGTAACTGAGCATATGAATCCGATACCCAAGTACACCACTCTTCAGAGGCTAGCAAACAGGCTAGAGATATTCTCTCTTGGCGGGCCAATTTAAGAAGTTCTATTCTTCAGGACAGCAGATGAGTTCTCGTTTAGAATTTCATCAACAATACGGAAAAAATTATCAAGTCTAGTCGTCATCATTTGTCCCCATCCAAGCCAACTAGGATAATATGACCAGATCATATCTCCAGTACTAAATAGTTCTCTCTTTGTTCTCCATTCTGAGAGGGCTATATATCAGGAAATAGAGAGCTAAAGGAAAGTACTCCACCCATGATTTACCCTGTCTCTTCCCTCAACTTAGTCAATCTGTTTTTGATGATTCCATTCAAGCTCTCTACCTTACCACAAGACTGTGGGTGATAGGGAGTATGTAGGTCCTGACTGATATTTAAACTCTCAAGAAGATAAGTGAAACTGTCTGCTGTAGTATGGGTGCCCCTATCCCTTTCAATTACCTCTGGAACTGCATAACGGCATACTACCTTGGCTAATATTTTTTTTGCTGTAGCCTTTGCTGTAGCTTTTGCCACAGGCCATGCTTCTGGCCACTCTGAAAACGTGTCAAAACACACACCAGTCCATACTCATAAGGCCCACACTTTGTCAACTATATATCAATTTGAAGCCTCTGGAAGAGATACTCAGGCTTTGGGGAGTGTTTCAAAGGGACAGTCACGATTTTTCCAAGATTATGTCTGGCACAGGTCTGACATGACCTACAGTAACGGCTGCATAGGTAGAAAACTTCTTCTGCATATAAGAAGAAGGTGACACACCCTTCTTCTCACATGGTCCCGGACCTGGAGGCTTTCAGGTTGTCTTCTTAAAGAGCCCCTGCCCTTTCATCTGCACATTCCCTATGTTTGCATCAACTCCTATAAGTGACTGTATAGTCTTTTAGGTCTTATAGGAGACCACTATCTCACTATACAGTATATACTATATATATGTCACCACACAGACACTAATTGCTGGCCAGCAAATATATTACAGAACAGAGACAAGAACTCTGGGAGGACCTTGAACTTTCACACTCTAACTCATGTAAACTGGATAAATAATCTCTCTAAGGCCGGATGGGCTGTACACATTCCAGAAAGACACCGAAAAAAAACTATCATCAACAGTAGTCAGAGGCTTAAAGCCACATTCCTTCAGCCTACGTGTGACAATTATTCTGCTACTTAACAACTCTCCAATGCTGACTATGCTGGCACTGGCCCCAAAAGCCTTTGCAGAGTCAATTTAGGAAACCGCGGTGCACTATTCTGCCACAAGCAACCCAGCCGTGAAGGCAGGTTTCACTTACACTCCACTGTAACTCAACATGCATAAACTCACTTCACTCTAAAAAGAGGCACTTTTGATACACCATTCCAATAAGATTAATAAAACAAAAAATACATACCGAACAGGTATTCTAGGATGGGAGTGTTTAAGCAGAGGTAAGCTCAGGAACAACCATACATAGGTAGACAGGACAAAGCAGAAAAGATGTAGGCAAAAAGCTCATCGTGCCCGCTGTATTCTGCTGTCTCACTGGCTCGTCCTATTGACGCGCGGCTGCCAGTTAATTCACTCTGCTCCTGGCTGCGTACTCGTCATTTATTGTAGCCAAAATTAAGTTCCATACCACACTTATCTTAGAAGAAAAAGGTTAAGGTGCACCCATATAGCATAATGCTAGAGAAACTGACGTGGACACAAGAGCGTCTGTATAGCAGTTTCTGTTTTATTTTAATTTTAACTGATATTTATTTCCATAATCATTAATAATGCATTTTGGGCATTTCCAGGTGTTAATAACTCAATAATTTTTTATATTAGATATACTGTGAAATAATCATCATATGAAAATGATTTGCAATGTCCTTTAGAATCTTATTCAGAGCGTGTCCAACGTGGGGGTCTCCATTAGCATAGGGTGGCCCATCATGCAACCTGAAGTCTTTCTTGTTTTTTCTGGTTCTTTGCCAGTTATACAGTTGTGAGAAAGAAGTTACATTCCTCTTACAGGCGGTGCTCGGTGGCGACAATATCCTCTGGGCTGCACTGAATGAGGAAGTAGGTGTGGAGGAGCCGTACGGTGTCTCAGGATTTCCTTTGCCCGGGAGTCTCCTGGCTGCTGCTCAGTCCCAAAGCCACCCTCACCATCCAGGAGTAGGGACCCCCTGACAGTCTCAGCAGCAGGGTGTGGTATCCAACTTAATTTTGCATACAACACCTGTTAGTCCAGGCTGTCAAGGACACACCCTGGAATGTGTCACAATGAGAACACATGTCTCTGCAGCAGAAAGGATGTTCCACTGCTGACAGTAGCAAGGATAAAGAAGGACCATGGGTTGTCATGTAACCGCATATACTCCTATAAATAAGCTATGTATGATGGATTTTTTTTTTAGATTAGATGCAGGCTGGGGGCAAGGATGTGTGCAGAAGGAAGGACTAGAGTGATGACAATAAACATGGAAATGGGCTTTAACCTATATCCATTACAGGTGTTGTGCATGTATTTTATCCCATGATAATTATTTATAGGAATTCTAAGGTATAGGTATAGAACCAATTTGTATTGTTATTGAAAAATGCAGTTGCAGGTTAAAAATTAAGGTACAGTGTTAAAACTACACAAGGTTTGTAGACAAATGTATTTTTCAACTGATGTGCTCTTCTTTCTGCATGGAACCCCAGCCCGACACTTCAGAAACAAAGTAATGCTAAAATTGTAGGTCAAAAAGACAATATCATATTGTGACAATCAGTAGGGTTCATGCAGTAACAGAAGGTAACAATGTGAACTTGGAGCCTGCTAAAAGCAGTGTCCCATATTTTTAAATGCATTTTTAAGATGCGCCAACGCAATATTTTCCAATCATGATTTTTTTGCTTCTGATTTTCCTGGGCCCATTTGTCTTCAAACATATGGGTTTTACCTTCAGCCAATAAATAATAAATCTAAGGGAAAAATTCACATTGCTAAGTACAGTGCTATTGGTAAGCACCTTAGCATAATTTGCAAGAACATGAGTCTTTAGCTGCCCAGTAGCTGCATTTCAAATGTCCCAGACCCACTTACTTAGCAATTAAAGTCCCTGGCAAGAGTTGTTTTTGTCATTTATTTGTATTTATGATTGCATTTTTCACATTATTTATGTTATGTTAGTGAGTTCATTTAATAACAATTTACACTTACTTTTTTGACACTTAGGGGGTGATTTATTAACCTAAACACACGCACGCACTAGGTGCGTGTGATTTTTACACAGCAAAACGTATTTATCAACCAAAAAGCACAGCATCACCTTACAATTCATGCAGGGCTTTGCACAACACACCTGCTGGGTGTGTACACACTACAAAGGTGTCTAGATTCCACCAATAGATCATGCTGGGAGGGAACACACTACAGAGGTGTATACTTGTTCGTGGCGTGTTTATAAGGTTAGTAAATCAACCCCTTAGTGTGATATTTAGCGCCGTGTATTGTGTATTTGATTGTTTTATTTTGTTTATAGACGCTTTTTATGACAGGGAAAATTTGCTATATCCTGAGCGCAGATTCTCAATTGATTAATTTAATTACATATAACAGATATTTTAAACACTCCCAGCATGCATCAGCAGAACCCCAAGCCTACAGTAGCCAGCATCAAAAAAGCTAAGACCCCTTTCACACATGCGATCCGATCAGTTTTTCAGGTGGGCCCGATCTGATGCCCAATAAAAGTTTATGGAAGTCTGTTTACACTCGGTTCTTCCTGACTTCTGCCAGGTCCGGAAAAACAAATGGATCAGAGATCCTGATCTTGCTGGCACAGGGGTAATGTGATGTAAACGGACACATGTCCATTTACCTGCTATTCCCCATAGACTGACATGGGGTCTGTTAATTGCAGTTTTGGACACGGATGTCACAGCGATGACATCCGCTCTGTACTGCTGTGATCAGGAGAGGATCCATGCACGGATCCTCTCCTGGTCAGCCCGTGTGAAAGGGGCCTTAAGCTTATTACAAGATCTTAAAAATAGAAAAAGAGAATTTTGAAAAATACTAAATCACTGTAAAAGTAAACATGCTCTACTCCTTGATCTTACTCCTGGGAAATCAATCCCATTGCATCTAAAATTTCATTAAGCATGCCTATCCTGATATGGACCAAAACAGACTCTGCTAGTTAGCATTATGATAGTGACTTGCAGAAAATAAACTAGATGACATACAGTACATATGTGAAATGTCACATTTTTCCCTGCACTTGCTTTAGACAGAGGAATGCTATAAGCTCCTAGCCCTAAGCACAAATTATACAATCAGCCCTAAAGAAACAGAGCTGCTATGAAAAGGTGGAGTTTGCTAAAGGAGGTGATCAGAGAGGGTGTACACTGACTATGCTCTCTAAAAGGGCCATTAAGCAGATAAGTCCCCAGTGTGACTTAAACTGCAGAACTGCACCCAGCAATGATACCAAGGGGAATTCTTAACGAAGGACAGGAAAATGAAATGGTATGCCATGTTTTCTTTCTTTATTTTACATATGAACATGAAGCTATTTTGTAGCACCTCTGCATTTAAATCAACTTCTGATTTACAATAATTACAAATCCTCGATATTTAGAGTACTAGAGACAGATTATTATGTAATGTTATGCATGAAAAACTACAGTGTGTTTCAGTGAAACTGGTTATCATGTTCAGCAAGTGTTAAAAAAAATTAACAAGTTTTCAGAGCCTGTACCATTACAAATTCCAAAGTGCCAATCTGATTATTGTAACACCCTGACATACTTTAATACATTTATTTTGCATGAGTGTCTACCTGATTTAATATAAACTGAATAGATTGTTTAGGCATGTTCTCATTCTACATATTAAATATAATGCTGACCATATACACATTGATGTATTTTGTGATGAACTAACCATTTGGTGCTGCGTTTACTCTAGAAAATATGGATAATTTTTCCCCATTTTGATCCCTGACATAAATTGAAGATGAAAATCACTCAGTAGGTATAAAACATTATGAAGGTCAAGAGTTTTTGTTCCGGTGTCATTTCAAACAGTTACAGCTCAAGTAAATGTATTTAATGCTGCTTGCATTTAAACAAACCATTTAATCAGTGCTCAGTATGATAGTTTTCAAAGTGACAACTGCTACTTTGAATCCCCAATGAAGGCAGATTTTCCTATGCTGTAGTTGTCATAGAGTGCACAATCAAACTGCTGTGTATGCGGCTACCTTAAAGCCTATTTCAAAATTCAGTTTAAATTAGTTAAATACATTTCAGGCACATCAAAACAAAATGTCTGTAAAGTGTTACAGTTATTTTTCTTTAAAAAGCAGGCAAACGCTTAGTAGAAAAGCCTGTACCCTGTCAGCATGTTGTAGAAAAGGAACCCTGCTCAGTGTGTGGAAACAGAGGGTTCTTTGCAGAGGTCAGACAAAACCATAGCCTTTAAAAAAAAAAAGCAAATCTAATGCCCCTGCTGATTGGATTACTGTTAGGGGTTAAGGTGTTAAAGCTCTGCGAAGAGACCACTGAAATGTGGAATATAAGAAAAATAAGGATGGAAAGAACTCAATAAAACATATTTTTCAATTAAAAGTTTAAATGGTTGTTACAGTCAAGTGGTCCATTGTAGGCTAATTTTTATGTACACAGGTGTACTTGCTGAACAGAGGGCTGTGTGTGGACTTTGGTTAGTTGTTTACAAGCTGTAGACAACTCACAGCAAGCAGACAGCATAACTATTGTACTCTACAATGACTTACCCACTTGCTTAACAGGTATATTTAGAAGATGAATGATATGCGACATATTTTCATAATTGCAGGAAATTTAAAATGACGTGACAGTTGAAAATTGTTCCGAACCTTTAGTGTTGAATAAAATTTTAAAGGTTAAGTAGTGATATGTAATGAACAAAGTCAACATTATGTTATTTTTGTACAGTTTGGTATCTCTCTCCATCAAATGTTGCATAAAATGTTATAATGCAGGATCATTATGTAAGTGTTGTACTTAAGGAACATTAGATTGTTCAGCATGTGCCTACCCTGATCTACATTGACATTGTGCATTTAACTTATTGACTACTAAAGGGGTAGTGTTTACCTGTCCAACTAGTTTCTACCAGGGTGGTACTGATAAAGTGACTCTAAACTCGGGAGTTAAATTTTAACCACTTGAAGCCCGGGGTGTTTATACACCCTTCCTAGGCCATTTTTCAGGGCTAGTTCACACCAAGTGCGGAGCAGATGCAGAGCAGTTACAGAACGCATCAAAACTGCATCCAATGTATTCCAATGGTATTTTGGGCTCTAGTTCACACCAGACCATTCAGTTCTGGAGCATGTGGAAAAACTGCAGCATGCACTATTTTTTCTGCTCTGGAACGAGCCAAAACGCATACAAACACATCACAAACACATGCAAAAGCCCTGGAACAAAATTAATAGCCAATTTTAGGCTAAACATTTTTTTTTAAATGGCCCGAAATGCATAAAAAACGCATCAAAACGCTGCAAAAATGCAGCAGAACACACTACATGTGCAGACACTCATGCAGATCTGGTCTGCATTTGCTGTGAACAAGCCCTCAGTATTCAGCACTGCAGTGCTTTGACTGACATTTATTCAGTTGATTTCGGCGGTTCATCCGAATCCAAAATAACAAATTTAATATATGCCCGAATATACTAAAATGTAATTCCGGTATAAATAAATTCATTTTCAGAACATGCTGATGGCCATATTGGCCGCCAGCATGTTCTGTGCATGCCCGCCGCCATCTTGGAGGTGGAGTGTATGACGTGACATGACAGTGACATCACACGCTGAATGAGCGGTGGCCATATCGGCCACCGGCGCATTCTGCGCATGTGTGCCGCCATTTTGAAGTAGATCTTCGTATACACCAAGACAGCGGCGCTCGAACATTTGGGCGCCATCATCTTGGTGTATAACAAGATCTACTCCAAAATGGCAGTGTGCAAGCTTGTTCTGCGGTTTCAATGTGCTGTTTCGGATTCAGAGACTCGTTGGGGGTGATTTACTAACCTAAACACACGCACGCACCAGGTGCGTGTGATTTTCACACAGCAAAACGTATTTATCAACCAAAAAGTCTCTATAAGCATATTTCCACTAATGCCATATATGGAAAAATCATGCACATGATGCATATATAATGCTGCTTCACAGTTTAGACAAAAATGGTTAGCTCATGCATTTACATTCCTGCATTCATCAGCGCAAGCAACACAACATAGAGCTAATTTACACAACATCACCTTGCAATTAATGCAGGGCTTTGCACAACACACCTGCTGGGTGTGTACACACTACAAAGGTGTTTAGATTCCACCCATAGATCATGCTGGGAGGGAACACACTACAGAGGTGTATACATGTTCGTGGTGTGTTTATAAGGTTAGTAAATCAACCCTGTTGCCTCCGAATCCGAAACAAAATGAAAATGTGTTTCCTTTGATGAAATGAATGAAAATGGTTATCGTTTTCATTTGTTTCATCTGAAAACAAATTTTTTTGTTGTGCACATGTCTAGTGACAAGTCCTCTTTATGGAGACATCAGGGGTCTTTAAAACCCCTAATGTCACCTAGGGACTCCCAAAGAAGATGCTGAAGCAGAGATTTGCTTCACTAGCTTCTCTCCGGCTTCTGTAGTTGGAGAGTGACAGCTGAATGCGGATGTGAAGTAGTATACATCACTTCCCGCATTCAGAGACCAGCGGGGAGATCAGAGGGAGATTGTGTACTGTGCTCACAGAGCCTCCATGCCGTTTCCGGGCCTGTACCAAGCACAGTGGAGCTCGAGACCAGCGGTGAAGGGGGAGCGCACCGAGCATCACCACATAAAAGTGATCGGGTGGCTCTACAGCCACCTGAACGCTCGAATGTAAACAGCCATCGCTGGCTGTTTCAAATTTTGACAGCTTCCCAAGGCTGCGTGCACGAGCGGGCGGGGCTAAAATAATGTTTTTAAATGCCCAGTCACATTCAAGAAGCTGCCGTTTAACTACAACAGCTGGCCGGCAAGCTGTTAAAAATGCATTCAAGTGCCATAACAATTAACAAAAATTTACCTTGTAATCTTATGTTTAGTTTACTAATTTGTATTGAAGTGATATTCTATCATGGGAGCGAGCTTGGAGCACTGGCTACTTTTCAACACGCTGGGATCAGACGGAACAAAAGTAGCCGCCCTCCAGAAGGAAGGACCGTGTCAACACAAATTCATAAATGATTTGAGGCTCTACAGAGTGATACAGAAATAAGGCCCAGTATTCTCTATAGTTAAGGTATTTGAATGCATTTTTAAGATTTAGCTCCAGAGTTTAGTGTCACTTTAAATGACAGGATAATTACTATGAGGTTACATTCACACGGGGCTAATAGCTGTGGATCTGGATACCTGCGGCAAGAACCTACAGATTCTTTTGACAGGAATCCCAAGTGTGTCTGTACAGGTGCAGTTCAGGGACAAGCACCTATCCCGAACCGACGTAAGCCTGTCTTTCACTTGAATGTACAGACACACCTGAGATTCCTGCCACAAGAATCCATAGGTTCTTGCTGCAGGAATCCCCAGCTTCACATTATAACCCCATGTAAATGGGGCCTGAAGGACTTTTTGATTGTGTTCATCTGCAGCTGGAGGTATTTTTTTTTATAAGGTGCTGAAGCACAATGTTGCTGTCATTCAGCAATGCACGGTGATGTCACCATACAGTGTGATATGGCAAAATTCAAAAGGACCTGTATGATGGCATAAATGGTCTATAATCTAGCAAAGAGTAAGGTCTTGCTTTTTACCTCAGAGTCCTTGTTATCAGTAAATATAATATGTTGGTTACATGGATTTGTGGGGCCCACAGGCACAGGGGTACAATTACAATTGTGATCAATGTAACCCCTAGTTCCTATACCACTATTCATTTGCTTTAGTTCATGAATATCAACCAATTAAGGCTACATTCATACTATGCATGAATGTGTAATTTGGGATTCCAGCAGTAGGAACCTACGGAATCCCGGATGACAAGTTTAGATGTGACCGCTGTCACCCATTCAAGTTACTGACCGGTTGAAAGCAGCCACATCTGTAAGCGGCAGTCCACATGTAATCGTATGTGATATGATCACATGTGGTTTGGACACACGATAGATGAATGCAATACTGTCACCCAGACTAGGTGACTTTGAAAGTAGTAAAGCCAGTCATCCGTTTCAGAAGGAGGTCAGCAATAGCAGCATCAGTACTTCCCTTGTGAAAGGTTTACTGCTCATAGAAAGTTTATTAAATAACAAACATAATTTGGATCAAAGGCATTTCCTAGGAGATTGTAATGCTTGCACAAGTTATCATTTGTTGTATGCTTCCTAAGCATAATGATGTGATTTCAAATAAATGTTTCTCTTCAAAGGCTATCAGCATACCTTCTGATCTTTTTTATAGCATTTAAAGTGGACCTCTACCTTTACCTTTAAAATAACAACAAACACACCTTTAGAAATGTTTAGTAATGACAATCTACAAACAGATACTTCTAGATAATTGCCAGCTGTGTATTCTTTGCATACCTTATTTCTCTATTCTTCCCCAGTCTTCTGAGAGTGGCCATTTTTACTAAGGGCAGATTACTAGATCTCCCTTTACTCTCTGGATTTCCGGCACATGTAACTAGACATGGGACTGGGACATGTGACCATGCACATGGGATTGCAGGCGGTACAAAATATAATAAATTAACATACATTAAAAAATACACAAGTTATGAATATATAAATTAATAAATGCACAAGAAACAATATCTGGATTGAAATTGGCCGCTGCACTTTTTATTGGTTTAAAATAAATCAACTTTACTTAAAATATCAAACCATCAATCTCAAACTATTAATCAACCAATAATTGCCTAGCCACTACGACTCAAGCAATACCATCATAAAGGACTGTACATAAATTAAGTCCTCCCTCACATTGAGGGTGACAAACCACGTAAAAAGCTTGCGACATATATGTTTTGTTTTGTTTTTTTTAAAGGGGGGGAGGGTGGGAGCTCGCTGCGCTGCGCTGTGAGTGACCTCTACTCCTCAGGTGCTGACCTTTTATAGGGAGAGGTGAGCCCACAGAATCTTCTAGAAGCTGGACAATTTTCCCGCCTAAACAGGTAAGGGGTTTCTTAAAGGGGCAATGCTTTTAAAGGGGTCACTGCTTTTAAAGGGGGCAATGCTTTTAAAGGGGCAATGTAATTAAAATGACCTGAGGAGAAATAGATTAAACTGAAAGAGGGGAAGGGGACCGCCGCAAACCCATGTTAGTGGCCACAAATAAATTGTCGGCCCCCTTGTCCATCATCTCAGGGGAGAAACATGACTTTTCCTGAGATCTCGTGAGATTACAGATGAGATTTCCCAGCAATGCTCTGCTGATGACAAGGCAATCCCAGTGAGCATTGCTTTGGGAAACTGAAGTCATTTTGCCCTTTCAAAGCAGGAAGTGAATGTTCTGCAAGTGTATGTATTTCACAATCACAGCATTTTATACCTGACATGTCTATGTTATTATTAATCATCAAAACTGGAGCAGACAGATTCTGGAGCAGCTCTGCATGGCAACCAATCAGCTTTTCTCTTCCGTTTGCTCAGTTAAGCTTTGAAAATGAAAGATAGGTTCTGATTGGTTGCAGTGCACAACTGCTCCGGATTTTGCCTACTCCAGTTTTTATAAATTTCCCTCACTGTATTTTGTATGACAATGTCACAGATTACCTTGGTCTAATATCAATTCTTTTGTCTGCTTGGGTTTGCTAGAGTGTAGATAACAGCACACTTTAATAAGCAGCTTCTTGCCTGCCAGCCATGTACTATAGCTCCATGACAGACAACACATCATACAAGAAATGTCTGTGCAGTAAATAGCAAAAAAATTTTTTTTCCGTTTACATTTCTACAAGAGGAAGGAAGTTGACTGGTTGCTATAGTCATTACAGAGATTTTAGACACTCCTTCTGTGGCTAATGTTAAATCTCCTGTAGGTTATTTTAGTACTAGGCAAATATTTGCATAAAAATGTCGTAGTGAACTCAACTGCCTTTTCAAACCTTTTTTTTTTCTGACAGGAAATGTTTGGATACAGAAGAGTAAAATGTCGAAGTCTCCTGTGTGTTATTGGTTACATCATTACACTGGGGTTTCTTAAAATCCTTTTTTATTGGAAGCCTGAACTAGATGTCTGGTGTCACTGTGTGCCCTGCACCTTGGAAGAAGCTGATATGTTCTTGCTCAGAACCACAGTAAGAAAAACAATTTAATAACCATAACTAATTGATTTGTGTCTCTCTGGTTTCAGTCATTTAGGCCCTAGTCACACTACAGGGCTCTCCGACACAAGAGCAGGCGGAATGTTGGCATGGGCAAGGGCCCAGCAAAGGGCTTATTCACCTGTGGACTAAATTGATTTCAATTAGTGTTGAGCCTAGTCTTGGAGCAAACCCATTTTATAGCCCGTACAGCACCCACTCGGTTCTCCTGAACCGAAGGGGTCCTGGGGCCGAAGCTAGCTAGCTTTGTGAATAGACCCCTTAGTTTGCCCAAGCCCTCTACAAACTGTGACTGCCGCCCCCGCCGATCAGTGGTAACAGTTGCGGTGTGGGTAATTCCCACCCATATGTAATTTACAGCTGCAAGACGGGAGATCTGCCTGCTGCCACTGATTGGGCCAGGAGGGAGGGGGATGTCAGTCACAGTTTTAAGTAAGCTTGGGAGAACTGAGACAAACTGGGTTTACACCAAGCCCAGGCTCATTACTACTCTCAATTAGGAGTAGTCCACAACTTCTGTCAACATGAAAATAACCAAGCACTTTCAGCTGCTGCAATGATAGAACTAGCAAATTATAAACAATTTACACTTTTTAAATGGTTAGCTCCGTACGACGTACGTCCTTGGCAGCGAAAGGGTTAAAATGTAAGGATGTGGGGCATTGAACTTGTGGGTTGGTTCATACTTTGATTATGAACTCCTGCCAGCAGTTATGCTGCAGAACATGTTGCCCTGCAAGTCTCTCCTGATCAGTCCCCTCCTACTGCACAAAGTGCTGAACTGCTGGTCAGTGAAGGGTTTGGAGAAGGCAGGATAAGTGAACAATCTAGGGCAAAATAGCTGATTTGGAAAAATCTTCCAATTCATCTCACATTCCAGTTCAGCTATTTTGGCCTAGATTGTTCACTTCTCCTGCCTTCTCCAAACTCTTCACCCTTTTGTGAATACCCTGTAAATGAAAATTACCTTTGCTAGGTGAAAATTTACATAGCTAAGTGAATGAGCTGAAGTCGTGCTAACTTTAATTATCTAGGAATATTCAAGTGGAAATCCTGTATTTTTTTTATTTGTCTTGCACATGATGGGGTAGTCTTTATAAAATTAATTTTCACTTTGTTTTATCTCACTAAGAGATGTGAAAGTTTACTTTGAAAATGAAGATGTTCCACTAGTAAATCAGAATTTTCTATGTCAATGTTTTTGTGATTGCAGATACGCGATTCCCTTATCAATCTGAATAGATATTATTATTACTTTCAAAGCAGACTGTATAATGTGTATACATTTGTGATGCCATGAACATTTCATTAAAAAACTAATACGCTGGACCCTTAGAAAATATTTCGGTGACCTCTGCTCTCTACATTTTAGTCTAGATGATTTGTAGTTGCACAATATCTGGTTAAGTCTAGGTGTCCTGTTATTGATTGCATCTACTGCAGTAGGGTGTGACCCTGCCCCAGAGTGGAGAAACCAATAGGGGACCATCAGGAGTATCTATGCCTCACCAGCCAATCACTAGGAGTTTAATTGCCAGTGGTTCATGTTGGGGGAGTGCATAAATACTCAGGGATTGCCATGTGCTCTGGTTCAGCCCGCCCTCAGGCTTTGCCTTGGGGTGGTATGTACAATGTTAGAGAAGCTAAATAGGTTAGAGAAGCCTGGAAGAATATGGACCCTGGTGGGGTCTGAAACTATCTGGGAAGAGAATCAAAGGAGCCCTATGACTGTTGGAGGTACCAGGAACTGATATGGACCTCAGGAGCAAATCTGGTTTCTCTCCCAAGGAATATCTAATGCCTATCCATATTTGGCTGTTGTTCTACTCCACAGTGTCAGCCTGTTCTACTAGTAATTTTGCACTGTTGAAGCCTGAAGGGATTGGTGAGTCTTTAGTCTATGTCTGTTCTTGCCATGGATGTCTGAAGCCCTATACCCTCTCTTGCAGTTATGCTGTTCTTCAATAAAGCATTCTAAAAAGGCACTTAAAATGACTGGCGCCCAATTTGTCGATCACATGTGCCTTTACTGGCTAAGGATATGCTCCTGAGAGCTACATTATATTTTGTTGATGGACACTTTTTACTATTTGTATGTGTTGTTGTAGCCTGGTATATATATTATGAATCACTGTTTTCTATAGCGCTGCACTATTATTATATAGATTTTTGTGTGTGTGTGTTTTTGCACATTTAAGTGTCAACAGCTATATTTACTGCTGCATAAAAATATTATTGATGCCTTAATTTTTACAAATCACCCTCTCGCTTCGGGCAAGCAGGGCTAAATGCACAGCAGGAAAGCTGCTCATTTGTTTACAAGTGACCTTGTACTTGTACCTTTACTCATTCACTAAAGGGTTAAAAGTAAAAAGTAAACACACCAGGGATTAAGAAAAAATCCTTTAATTGAAAAAAAAAAACAGAAAAAGTTTTTTGACAAATCCTTTAATAAAAAAATAAAAACACTAACAATTTAAAAGATGAATCCACCGAGGTAATCCAAAGGTCAACCACGGCGTCCAGCGTTGTCCATGCCACCACCGACTTGTCGAAATAAAAATGCCCGACGCCCCCCAACCCATCGACATGCGATAAACTCTGGCTGCAAAATGATCAGTGACATCACCACCAGCTCCGCCTAACTGTTTAAATTTGTCCGGCATCAATTAAATAGATGTATTCCCTGAATAACATGTAGTTTGCTAAAGCATTGTATGTAGTAAACAACTGCCTTTCATGAAAGACTACCAGGTAGTATTTTAACGAATGTTGAAGATTTAAAAATATTGAAAATTACTTTTGAAATTACATTAACACGTTAAAGCTTGTATGAGTTCTTAGTTATTGGCTTTACATATAGCCACATATTTAAGCCACTAGCAGCCTCTACAAATCTGAGTTTAACCCTACCTTGATCGATCTCCAACAATTTTCTTCCTTTAGAAGGACCTGCATCTAAGAGCTTACAATTTAAAAGGGAGGGACAAGTGACACAAAAAAGTAATAACTGTGTGGAGATGGGTTGATGGAGAATGTAAAAGTTCAGTTTTTAGGTTGAGTCGGGATAGGCTTCCCTGAACAAGTGAGCTTCAGTACTGCAGTGAGCATACTCAATCCAATCAGTGTGCTGATTATACATCCTTTCACTTTCAACTTCCTGGTATTAGCACTGTAAGTTTACAGTGGAGTCACTAAAAGGTTTCAAAGTAAAGCCTCCAGGGAAAGGATGGAAACTATGTAGAGTTAGGGTGATTTTGTATGAGGAATTAGATTAGTGTTAAGGTCAGACATAATTCAAGAGATGTGGGCTAGATAAGCAATGCATAAATAAAAATTGAGGGGAGGTTAAAATGAAGGCTGTACGTTAGGGCTTATGTATAATAGTATTATGGAATCAGATAAAGGAAGGGATGAGTTTTAGGAGGACTTAGTGCAAAATTCGCTGCACCCCAAAAGATATAGCCACCAAGCTGAACTGCTTGACTAAAGTTAAAACCAGAGACCGGAATGTGCTGCTTGGTAAGAGTGTATGTACTAGAAGTCTATCTAAACAGATTTACACATTTTATGGAAGATAAGGCAGTTTACTTATACAGTATGTATTTCATCTGTGTATTTATCTGTTTGCTAATGTTCAGCTTTAACAGTTTCACTTTTTAACATTAAAAAAGCTTCAGGAAGTTGGTGTTAACATTAAAAGAGAAACATGCCTTATTCTCATAGAGGCTTACATTTTACATGCCAGAAATGTGTTCACTGTTTGCATTCAGGTGTTGGTGAAAAGACCTGGAGAGCTTTTATGAAGAAATTACTATATAGTTGAAATGAAAGTAGTATAGGGCATACTATACTACAAAACTTACAAATGTTATTTTATCCAACAGGATGAATTTAAGAAGTACACAAAGAAGAAAGTGAAATGGATACAATCAGATGTGTCCAATGCCATACCTCAGCCTCACAACGTATCATCAGTGGACTCCAACCTGCATAATTTATTAATGAAGCCTGAGCAGAAGGTAAGCAATTAAGCACCATGTTTAGCTGGATGTAGATAGCACTGCTTATATTGGTGGAGTTCTGGGTTTAGTTTCCACCAGGTATGCTGTCTATGTGGTTGTCCCACAGGAGGGTTGATGCGGAGTTGCATGTGATTAACTACTACTAGCTATTAATTACGGTTCTTCATCTAACAAAATACATAACATCACTGTTTAGCAAGTAATACATGGAATAGATAATCTATAGCATCATTATTTAATCAGAAAATAGGGATATTATATACCAATGATAATGGAGACGGAGAAAGCCAGTAAGACATAACATACAGCATGCTTAAGTGAATCCGTGCTTATTACACTGTGTTATAATTCTCGACATGGAAAGTATAGTACCCTTGCTCTTGCCCCTGACAAGCCTGAGTGTCTGTCAGGGTACCGTGCATGGGTGTCCTAACATTACATGCAGGTACCCACACTTGAAGACCAAACGCTTATGACCACACTAGACAAGGTCAATGTGTCACAAACAATTTATTATAACCAGCAAAACCAAACACAACCCCACAAACAAGTATGAATAAGTAAAGTGACACCAACTAAATATAGCCACAACTCCATACAAAGATAACAGGAGCAAATACAAACCCAGGGTATACTAAGCGGGTAAACCTAGGCAGCAGGGCAAGACGAGGGGGGCCAAGGGACAAGGTGTCAGGGTACAGGCGGGACTCGGGACTGGAAGTAGGTAACAGGTCTCAGGACTGGAAGTAGGTAACAGGTCTCAGGACTGGGGACTCTGGATTCACAGGAAACAACAGGATACTGAGCCATCGTCCTGACTGCACGGAGGGTTTAAATACACTGCCAGGAAGCACCAGGTGATGGCCAAGTGCTGGCAGCTGGGAGACACCCGCAGGTGAGCACTGGAGCTGCAGGGCTTAGGTCCAGCGCCACCTGGAGGCGCTCTGGCTCCTAACACTGAGATTTGTGCTATTGGTATCTGAAGGTCTTGGCCTTGACTTCTTTCTTACTAGCACTTCAGACTCATGCTTTTTAATTTCCCTAAATCATTCTGGATACTCACTGAATTCTATTTATGTTTCTAACTAAGCATATTCACATCTCTATTGAATTTATAGCTGTCGTCAGTCTAAAGTAAGAAACACAAGTTATACACATTCAATTTTACATATCCACAGAGTTTTTTTTTTAACGTGCCCTATCTGTCCTCTAAAAAACAATATATAATATGTGTGGGTGCACTTTGTAAGAAAGTATATTACTGACGTGGAAGAATCACACAGCAAAAATGTCAAAAGCGTGTCAGTCATTTACGAACAGCAACTAAAAACAAGCTCAGTCATGAAGGGGTTAAAATATTTGGTAGACCTATTGTTTGTGGACAAGTATTTATTGTCAGTACTATTGAACTGTTATATGTTGGCTATCATCTAAAATGAATATTTATATGCAATGTATAGACTACAACTAGTGATGCACAGAAGCATATTGTAAAGTTACTTGCACGAGTTGTACACTATAGCTAATGAGTCTACATCCCTTTTGGTTAATTGAATACAAAACTGCAAGTAAGAACTTCTACAAGGTGTTATGCATAACCCCACTGGGGAAAGTCACCCTTGATTCCTCTCTTCTTCACTGTTGCCACTGAAACAAATAGCAATAACAATACTGTGGCAGTGCAATTGCTAAATATTACCTTGTAGACCTATTGATCTGCAGCGGTTCACACAACTTGGAAAATGATTAATAAATTGTATTATTTTTTGCAGAAAGGGCAATTCTGCATGTATTTGCCAATTTGTTGTAGGAATTGTCCCTATATTATGATTATCATCTGTCCCTGATTTTGAAGACTCTATCGCTGGTAAATGAGCATCCCTGGAGCTATCCGCTGGCCTCCCAGTAGTGCAGTGTAGGTGTCCTAAGGTCCGGGCACCATGACCGCATTTTTTTTCTTTTTACCATTTGCACTGCAGTCACCACCTCAGGCCTCTGACTCTGTGGCTGTGTACAGAGCCAAGGAAGGCTCCCCTGAATTCCTCCTTAGCTCTGAGGTGTGGTTGAGTGTCACATGACACAGCTGTTTACTGTGTGCTGCTGCTGCTGTATCTGAGGTCTGGTAAGTTGGGGGTAACAGGTCTGTAAGAGGAAGGGTTTGGGGTGAGAGGTCTGTACTGTGGAGTATTTTGGGGCCATCTGTATTGGGGGGGGTGATTTGGAGGGGTTGTACTGGTGGAGGATTTTGGGGGGGTCTGTACTGGCTGGTGGAAAAATATTGGGAGAATGCCGTTATTTTGGTTCTACTGTGAATGCTGGCCTTTACATTGCTGACATATTCCTGCCCCATAATCACTGCACTACACATTCCTGACCCCTGCATTCCTTGTATCATGTACTCATGACATCTGCACTGCATGTGTTATACACTCCAAACCACTGCACTCTTTGTTACATACTCCTGACCTCATGCTCTGTGCGTTGTACACTCTTAACCACTGAACTCCATGTGATACATAATCCTGAGTCCAGCAGTCTGCGTGTTGCACACTTCTGATCTCTGCACTCCATGTGTTATGTGCTTCTGACCCCTGCACTCCATGCGTTACACACTCCTGACCCTTCACACAGTTGGTAACACACTCCTGACCCCTGCACTATGTGCCCTATGCACTTTTGACCAATAGTAGAGTAGGCGCAGGTTTTATTTAACTCTTTCAGCTACTTCCACTGTTTTGGCAATTTGGTCACACCCACAATTCACTGCTACACCCTCCACATTATTTCACTACCCAGGGCAGATGCCTAGATCACTTTGTCCTTATATGTTAAATATCTGCCTCTTATTCCAAATTCTGTAACAAAACTGTTTAAGGATATGTGAAAAATAAGGGAGAGATTTTGTAGGTTTGGCTACAAATGGGGGTGTTTTTTGGGTGTGGTAAAAAATGACATGGTCAGTAGGTTGTACCCGGATTTATTTATTTTAAATTTGGTAACCCTTTTCCATCCTACATTTTGTGCTGCTAGGCTGTAGCCAGCCTGAGCTACTGTACATTAATAGTTCTGCTTTCTGTTGGTTTTCCCCTGAGTTCAGATTATTGCTTGCTTCTGCCAACTGCTGGGAAGTGTCCCTGTCACAAAATTTCCAATAACTGAGGTTAGAAATATTTATGTCTTCTTGACCAACCACTAGGAGGTTTATTGCCAGTGGTACATGCTGGGAAATCATTTAAATATTTGTGGGAACTTTTTGAAAGCTCTCTTGCCTCCCAGGCTATGCCGGAGGATGTGCACTGCTGTTTCTAACCCCCTAGACCTTCTACCTGGGGAGAGCACATGTGCTCCGAGAATATATGCCCGAGGCTGGGGCCTGGAGCTTGCACTGCCTGGCCACAGGAGTTGCTCGGGAGGATTAAAGCTGAAACCTGGATAGGAGCACAAGTGGTAATTTTTGGTTGCAGGAAGAGTGTCCGGAGTACCTGGGTACAAGCTTGGACCAAGCAAGAAGTCTGGAGGCTCATCTAGGGAGTTTGTGTGCTGCTTCTGCTTTACAGTCTGAAATATACAGAGTGCCAGTCTGGCTTAAAGGTCTTTTACTGTATGACTGTTGCCTCTGATACCCCTTCCAAAAGTGACTGGTGGCTCATGCCACACAAAAAGTCAGGAATACATCACTGAAGTGAAATGTCAGCCCACAAGCAACTTGGGAATCCCTAACTGCCCTCAGTGGGCAAGGGGATGCTACACTATGACTTTCTTTGTGTTCAAACTGATTCGTTCATCACTAATCACATTTTTTTCTCATCAATGCCAATAAAGCAAAAACAAAACAAAAACATTCCCTGTACTTTACTAAGTCTTCTAATTTTTTATGCATAACTTTGCAGGTGCGTTGTATCAGGGTACAAAAAACACACTATGTTTGGAATACACTAGAAGACAAATTTAATAAAACTGGGTAAGATTTATGTATATTTCTGCTAGTTGTCAACATCCTTTTTTTGAATGAAGTAAACCATGTATTTTCTCAATTGGTTTAGAGTCCTGGAGGACAACCTTTCATGCTCTGATATACATAAAACGTTTGGAATGGGTTTATGTAGTAAAGAACAGAATGCCAGGTATGTACAGTTTGCTACAGATCAGTTTTTTTAAATCATTTGTGGCACACTACACAGCTAAACTATGAGGGTTATTCACAAAGCTGTCAAAGGCAGCCAAGTGAATAACCCATCTGAAGTGCATTGAGCCGAACGGTCAATGGCTTGAATCAGCCGTACATTGGCTCTGTATGGCTGTCTTCGGTCATGCTCTGCAGTGCAGAGGGACTTCGACTCAGCCGATCCAACATCTGGATCAGCTGAGCCGAAGCTCCGGCAGCTCACTCGCTGCCGTTCGCCCCTATTCTTATAGGGGCCGAACGGCAGTGAGTGAATAGCTGAAAGCTGCCCAGCAGCATTCTGCTCGGCTATTCTGCTCTGTACCGTGGTACCGTGCACAATAGAAAATAAGTGGAAAGAGTGTAAAAAAAGAAAGGTTGAAAAATTATTTTTAAAATGATGAAAAATAGGAAAAGTAAAAAATAAAGATATTTTAAAGAAGAAAAAAAACAATTGGGCGGAGCTAGCAGTGACCGTTAGCTCCGCCCAACTGTTTCCTATTGGCCAGAACCTGCTAGAGTCTTTTAGCAGGTCCGGCCAATGAATAACAACTGGGCGGAGCCGGCTCTGCCCAGTTGTTATTGTTTAATGACAGATCAGCGTCCCCAATTAATTTGGGGACGCTGATCTGTCATAAGAATCTGTCATTACAACTGGGCGGAGCGAGCCGTTTTTGCTGTCACCAGGGCTGTAGCTACCATGGGGCGAGTGAGGCACTTGCCTCAGGCGCAGCTGAGAGGGGGGTGTCAGGGCTGGCCTGGCTGCGCCCCCTTGCCCCTGTTGCCATGGCAAGAACAGTAATTGGCAACAGGGGCGCCAGGCAGCCAATACAGCTACAGTTCAGCAGGGAGAAGAGGAGCGGCACAGACTCCAGCTTCTGCTCGGATCTCCACTGCTCTTCCCTGCTTGTATGGGCAGAGAACTCTATGTCCTCGGCCTCTTTTTCTATTTCAAAAGGGAAATGTCAGCGGTCTGTTTAGACCCCCAAGATTTCCCCAAAGCCCCCCAGCGGTAAAAAATAAATAATAATAATAAAAAATTAATTAAAAAAACAACACACTCACACTTATGCACACATATTACTAGACGTATGCAAAGACTAAACATTTGTTTCAGGCTAAATGAACGGAAACTAAAAATGTTTTCATTAGATTGGTCAAACAAAACAAATTTTTATGCTATTTTGGATTTGGCCACAAGCACATTTTGCGAATGCACGCCGCCATCCAGGAAACGGGATGCATGATGCTGTGCGTGTGTGGCGCCGGGTGATATTATACGTCTGTTGGGGGGGGCACAATTTTCTGTTCTTGCCTCGGGCGCAAAAGGAGCGAGCTACAGCTCTGGCTGTCACTTCGGCTTAGTCGAGCCAAAGTCTGTATCCTTAGGCTCAGTAGTGATTAACCCCCTATGTGCACATTTTTAGATATACTTGGCTGAATTTATAGCTCAATTACAGGATATATTTCAAATGTATCTTAGGAAAAAAAATGTTTTGGTTTGGAGGGGGAAGGGGGCATAGTATGTTTTTATTACTGTTTATATTCTCATTGGGGAAATTCACCCCTCTATTTATACTTGTAACCATTGTCATCAACGAACATATTGAAGGGTAATCCAAACTGTTACAGCTGTCCACTGAACAAGTGGTAAGTTTTTTAATACTGTCTAAAATGGGAATTCTCCTCACTTTAGCAGATTTCCTTTAATTTCCTGCTGCTTTTTCTGGGACAGGAAGTGTAAAAAAATCTCCCCAATGGTACACAAACAGAAAAAAAATGGCAGATGTTAACCCTTCCCTACTCTATCCAAGAATTGTAATAAAATCACTATAGATATATTTTAAATTGATCATTCCAACCCTCTTATTGCTCTTTGAACCATTTTTAATTACATGGTTTCTAAGTACATTAAAAAATTACACACCATCAGCTGGTGGAAGGAGTAAAATGGCACCCAGACGTCACATATCAGTTACTCAAGGAGGTTGAACAACTAAAGGCAAATAGGCTGGTAAACTTCTAAGTACAGTGGCATCCATTGACAATGACTCATACATTTACAAATATAACATTTCATAAAAAAAAAAAATTGTATGTTGTATATATTACACAACAGTTCTTGCTGTAAATTTTCTAAGTGGCTAACATTTTAGAATTATTTCCAGATAAATATTGTTACTGTTACTGTGTAAGTGTTTTTACGTTCAATGTTGAATGACAATGTAATCGCCCATGCAGAAAAGGGATTTTCAATAAAAACAATATGAGTAAAATCCTTAAAATCCCTAAACTGTCTCTGAAAATCAGTGATAGCAAGTGTATTGTGAACATGTGTTTGTATGGGTATAGGTATGCTGTGTACAGAAGCTACTGTATCATTCCTCACTGGAACCTCACAGATAAATCATTTACCACAGAGACAAACATCATGTTCACCTTAGATGCTATTAACTATTGTACTTCATTTTTATTTGGTAAAATAGGACAGCTAGTAAACCTAATCACATTCCACAATACCTTAAAAGCCATCAAGGTATCCTATCTTATGGTTAATAAAATGAAACTTGTGTCCTGTCCAATGCCACACACTGGGCAATCCATCTTCTATAGTTCCTAGAGTACCTCATGCTCCAAAGCTGTGGTTTATTTAGTAGAAGTCTGAAACTTTAGCTGGAAGGGTCTGGATGTAATGTTCAAGTCATTATTCATTTCACAATCTCCTCTGCGTTTTTTTAAATTAGTTTTTTGATGATCAATAACAGTTTTGGTGGCATGCTCGTTAGAGCTACTACCTTGTAACTGAATCTTAGGTTCAATACACAGACATTATAATTGAGCTAATCCTTTCACATTTATTGAATACTGTATAAATTGACAGTTGCAGATTATGGTCAATGTGGGGTACTAAAGATCACTCACATGAATCAACAACATATGAGGCAAATCACTCAGGTGTCATAAGTATTTAACTCTTTTCTGGGTCAACGACATACAGACATAGGTTTGCTCTAGAGTGATCATCACTTGATTTACTAACCTTATAAACACGCCACGAACAAGTATAGACCTCTGTAGTGTGTTCCCTCCCAGCATGATCTATTGGTGGAATCTAGACACCTTTGTAGTGTGTACACACCCAGCAGGTGTGTTGTGCAAAGCCCTGCATGAATTGCAAGGTGATGTTGTGTAAATTAGCTCTACATTGTGTTGCTTGCGTTGATGAATGCAGGAATGTAAATGCATGAGCTAACCATTTTTGTCTAAACTGTGAAGCAGCATTATATATGCATCATGTGCATGAATTTTCCATGTATGGCATTTGTGGAAATATGCTTTTAGAGACTTTTTGGTTGATAAATACGTTTTGCTGTGTAAAAATCACACGCACCTAGTGCGTGCGTGTGTTTAGGTTAGTAAATCACCCCCATAGTGGCTCACTGAATAGGTATGCTGCCTTTGCAACTTTTGGATCCTGCATTCAGTCCTTTTCTATGACAAGCACGTTAATCAAAGTTTCTCTTTATTGAGATAAAGGCATACTTTCCAATTTATTTGAATGTGTAATTGCAAGGTCATGACAGAAAACAAGACATTCTCTGCTTATGCTGATATACAAATCAGATTTATTCAAAGTTGTACTGTTAGATTTGATTTATTTAAATCATTTTGTGCATTAGGTATATTGCTTTTCTTTTTCATTGTTTCCTTATTTTTAAACTTGTAGGCAGCAGTTATGTGGACCAAACACAATAGAAGTAAAAATTACTCCAATATGGAAGCTGATATTTAAGGAGGTAATATAGCGAATTCATTCTGTTGTTGTTTTCTTATGGATGTCCCATGGGTGTCAGTGAAGGGTCCATATGGTATAAAGCTACTTATTTTTAGAAACACAGCTGTGGATACCCCAAATAGAAGACACTACACATGCAAACATTTGTCCATTCCAAATTCCTTAATGCCATTGAGTGGTTGCAAAGGTATAAAATGCATGCAGTTTTTTAAAATAATATATTGAGTTAAGGGTTTTTTCAAATCATGCTTAAATATATTGAGAAATAGTAGAACTGTTTGTTTGTTGTTTGTTTGTTTGCTTTGTATGGTATGTAATTGTGTTTTTAAATGTATTGTTTTGTCAAGAAGGAAAAAATTGTTAATAAAAAGTATTAGAGAAAAAGAAATAGTAGAACTAAATAGTCATATCAGCCATAAAACACACGTACACACAATATACACATAATCTATAATACACTTCGGGGTTATTCACAAAAGGGTGAAGAGTTTGGAGAAGGCAGGAGAAGTGAACAATCTAGGACAACATAGCTGATTTGGAAAAATTCTCAATTCAGTTCACTTTCCAGTTCTGCTATGTTGTCCTAGATTGTTCACTGCTCCTGCCTTCTTCAAACTCTTCACCCTTTTGTGAATAACCCTGTTAGAATAAATTTTTGTTCAAAAGTAATATATAATTATTTATATTTTAACAGATTTTAAACCCATTCTACTGTTTTGAAGTTTATTCACTATGTACATGGCTGGCAACTGGATATATTGAATATTCCATGGCCATATTAATCATGACCATCTTGTCTGTTCTTGCCACAATTTACCTACTAAGGATGGTAAGCATAATTCTCTTACTTAGATCTTTATATATTTTTATTTTATTCTAACAACATATGTGGTAACTATGTTATTTGCTTTTATTTGCCTTTATAGCAATCAGTTAAACTGCATCATATGGTGGAATCACATAACAATGTTATGGTGTCTGTTCTTCAGAGAAATGGAGGTAAGACATACAAAGGGCAACTCTAACCTAAAGTTGTATTAAACTCTTAAACTTTTTTTCAATAATGAATCCCTATCAAATAAATATACATTGCCCAGCAAATGTTTGCCCAAGCACTTACAGTTGCCATGTTTCCAAACAGCTGGCTCAAACAGTTGTCTAGCACCTACTAGCAAGGAGAAGGGAGGGATGAGAACAGGGAGCAGAAGAATGCCTTGCTGTGCCTGTGTATTTGTGGAGACACACACAGCTTACTAACACACACAAGGGTGGCTCTATAGGACCCTGCAAAGGAAAGAAGCCACACTATAGGACCAGTGCTTAGGCCACCAGCTGATTCTGCTAAAACTTTCAGCATCAAGAAGCAGCATCCATTGTAAGTGGTTTAATCAGAATTTGAATTAGCTTAAAGACATTTTGACTTTAATATTACTAATAGCTGGAAACAAAAGTAAAAAACAAAATAAGATCTGTTTTCCACTCAAAGCTTGTAAAGTAGTGGCCAAACTCTTGTAAATTATCCACCTTAGCTGTGCTCTAAGCTTAATGAGGGTTATAATGTCATGATGTTTATACAGACATAGGTGCTACAACCATTCTCATATTGTGATTATATTGTTCTGTTCTATTACAGTGTGTGTTAGGTTTAATCCTTTCATGTTTTGTTCTCTCCAATCAAACTACATGATTATAATATGTTTTCTATGCCCTTCTTTCTGTTTGTTTCTGTCATTTTCCAATAAAAACAATAAGGTATTAGCCATGTGTCCAGCACCATCTGATATAAGTCATATCTGCAGTAGCTTTCCAACAGGTTATGGGCCCAGCAAAAAGTACTCAATACTGCTGTAGGTACAGATACCACTCAGAGTTACAGCAAAACAGTCTCTAAAAAAGAAAAGTCAGAATTTATATGATGGCTACTAACAGTGCTTCATCAGAAAACATTTAAGCAACTCTGTAGGTAGGTTTTTCCAAACATTTAGGGTTAATTCTTCTAAGGGGGTTATTCACAAAAGGGTGAAGAGATTGGAGAAGGCTGGATAAGTGAACACTCTAGGCCAAAATAGCTGATTTGAAAATATTCTCAAATTCAGCTCACTTTCCAGTTTAGCTATGTTGTCCTAGATTGTTCACTTCTCCTGCCTTCTCCAAACTATTCACCCTTTTGTGAATAACCCCCTTTGAAGAACTAACCACAGTTCTTCTGTGGATTTAGGCTGTCACAGTTGGTTTTATGTATATGCAGACAGACTTAATGATGTTGTGATCAGGGCTCTCTTCCAAGATTCCTTGTTCTTCTTCTCATTAAAGATAGTTCTTTATGAATTTGGTTGTATGTTTGGGTCATTGAGCTGTTGCAGAATAAATGCAGGACACTGTCCTGATGGTATTGCATGATGCAGAAATATCTGCCTATACCTTACAGTAGGGCCCACAATTTCCACTCGCCCCCTCGCAATTTGCGAGTGAAAATTGCATGGGGGTGAGTGGAAATTAAGCCATTGAGTCAGGCACTCAACTCCTGGAGGGACTCCTGGACCTCCTCGTGGCGGCTTCTCTCCTCCTCACCGACATGATGGCAGCGCTCCCTCGTCCGTCCATCCGTCCCCGGGGGGGTTGCAGGAGGGAGCACTGCCTGCTGTCAGGATGGCCGAGCAGTGAGGGGGAGAGAAGCCGCGCTCACAGCTGTCATGATGGCCGAACGGGGAGGAGATCAGAGCCGCTGTCATCCTGTCAGTTTCAGCGGCAGAGCGGAGGATCGGTAAATATCAGTGATAATTACCGATCCTCCGTGTGAGAAGGACAAACATTGGAGCGATAGTCTGATCACTCCAGTGTTTGTAAATAGCTGGGGACACATAGTACTATGTGTCCCCAGTTATGAATGAACAGCCGGTTCATTCAAGATTTCCTCAATGGGGAGAAGCACTCAGTACAGAGGCTCCACCCCATTCAGAAACTATTGATAGTAAATATTTTACTATCAGTGTCTGAATGAATGGGAAGCCTCTGTACTGAGTGCTTCCCATTCACTGAGTTCTGAGGCTGCAGAAAAAGAAATTGAGGATTTGGTGTCCTCAATTTCTTTTCTATTTTAAAAGGGAAATGTCAGGGGTCTGTTTGGACCCCTAATATTTCCCCGAAGCCCCCCCCCCAACAGTAAAAAAATAAATACAAAAAATGTAAAACATTATTTTAAAAAAGAGAAAACTGCCATCCCCCCCACACATGCATATTATTAGACATGTGCGAAGAATAAAAATTAATTTCAGATTAAATGTGTATGTGTAATGCTCTGTGCATTGTGCTGTGGCTGCAGCCCTGTGCGTTGTGCTGTGGCTGTATGTGTGTTGTGCTGTGTGCGCGTTGTGCCCTGTGTGTGTTTGTTTGTGCTATGCAAGGCAACTAGTGGTGAGTAACTTTAAAGGCCTGGCTAGTAGCTCAGGACCTGACATTTTGAGCCCTGCCTTACAGCATTGCATAGACCATTCTTTCTGACAAAATCCCCAACTCCTTTTGCAGAAACACAGTTCTAAAACTGAAAGGAATCTCCACCATGCTTTGCTATTGCCGGCAGACACTGATATACCGGTACTACCAAAAAATGCATGTTTTCTGAGCCACCAAATGAGAACAGGATACCACACCCTTATATTTACATAAACAACAACAATCGTCAAAATGGGGCTTTTAAGGTATCACATTAGTGATTCAATTACATTATAAAAAAATACACATCTTTATTAAAATGTATTTATTGATTAATAACATATATAATATTTAAGATTAAACAGCACCACTAATGCTGAGATGTATATCAGCATTAGTATATCACGATTCCCTGAACACAAAATTAATTAATTAGGTAAAAAACTTCCCTGGACCACACAATCACAATATATGTGTAATTAATTTAATGGAACTTTACTCTATTATTAATCTCCTCATAGGCGTATGCTGTTCATGTATTATAATTGCAATTCATTCTTGAATTATGCATCAATGTGCAGTGGGTCCTGCTTTCTATGCATTTAGCCAAAGCTTCCTCAGGAAAAAGGGAAGCAGCCTTTTTCCAGGATTTTGGTGGTGACTAAGTCCACATATTTAGGGGACATTCCCCGCTCTCACTCAGGAGGCATCGGGGATAAGGAGCATACAGAGGTAATGGAATAATAAATACTTGATAACTATCCATAGGTACCAGTTCCTTAATTGCACCTGGTGATCGAGCCATTATGTTTTTTTGTTTTTTTTTCCAGCTTCCTTTACCAGACACTCATATACTGCTCTCCAGTTTCTTCAACACCTTCTGTTTCCATACTTTGGGAATTTCTCACTGCTTATGCTAAGTCTCATGTTTTAGATCCATATTTAGTTGTGCTAATATAGCTTTATAATGTAATGTATTTAAAGTTTTGTGTACCATATTTAATTGAGCACATTGCAAAATATTTTGTATTTCCCGGATTTATTCTAGCTTTAAGTTACAGCATATTTTGTTTTTTTCACTTTATATTAGACCCCAACTTTAAAGCTCTCTATAAAGTAGTAGATTTATGAATGAAAGATATTTCTTTATCAACTAAAGATCTTTGTTCATCACCCAATATTGCAATCAGACACTTGACGAATGTTGAACAAAATTAACCATATGTTTTCGTTCGGGAAACTCCGTTCATTCCACTACACAACCTCCTCTGCCTGCTCTGGCTGTATAACACGCCCACTGACAGAAAGAATAGGCTGACATGTCCTGCTTCTCAAAGGTGCAACCTTACCAGGACCAGCTCACACCTACTAGCTGCTCAGATCCTCTCTTTAGGCCTCCCAGCCATGATGAAAATAGGGTATTGCCTAATTTTAGTAACAGCTATGGCAATAGGGGAAGTATGTAGTGCTTTGGTGCACTTCACAATGTGATGATTTGGTGCAATAAACTGTATCAAACTATTATGTAGTGATGTGCTGCAAAGAGCAGCTTTGTCTGTGTCAGGAACAAGACCATGCTGCTGACCCTGAAAAAAATATAAAGATGCCAGAAAAAAAGGTTATATTAATCAAATTTACGTACATAAAAAAATAACACCAAAAGAAACACTAAACACTAACCCTAAAGCACAAAACAATGTGTGTGTGTGTGTAAAGAACACTGCAATTGGTGGCCCCAACAGATAAACAGCAACAGAAATTTTTGCTGACGCCCACTAAACCATAGTTCTAAAAAGGTCTGTTGTATATATTCACAGTGAATACAAAGGGTGGCACACAATGTCATGTAACCAAACACAATGCAATGTAAAATAATGTAGCACAATACAGCACTTTGTAGCCCACCACTCTGAAATTGTTATGTAGCATAATACAGCTCTGTAAATAGAACTATACTGTACAGTGCTGTATAACAGTAACTATCTCTCCCTGAAAATACTTTGCCAGCTGTCCCTATCTACTTTAACTTCCCACAATGACTGATCCCATTAGTTTGTTGTTTTTTCAAACACTAGAGTTTCAGTCCAAACTCAAAGTTCATCTTTAATTTGGGTTATAAAAGAATGTTGGCGTGAAAGGGGCCATGCATGTTACAATCTGATTTTATAGTCACTAAGCAAACTACCACATTTACCAACAACAGTATAGTGTACAGACCTAGATAAATAGTCCAATTAATTTGTATGCAATCAGTTGTCTCTCACACAAAGTTGTTGGCAAATCTGAAAGAGATTATACAACCAGTTTGTAACATGTATGGCCAATTTTTGATGTACAGTTAGACTTCAGTTAGGACGGAGTATTTTACTGGTGATCAGATGCAAATGGCCAAGAAACTGCATTTTAAGTCATTAGCTATTGTACTATTTACAGGCCAATACAGAGTTACACAGTTAGGCACATTTGCATTGCTATAGAAATTAATGAAAGTGAAAATGGATTATCAGGGACTTAAAACAGTAGCAAACAATGTGCCTAAACACTTTCGATAATCTAGTTTTCTCTTTTATAGAGGTTGAAGAGGTACAGTCTAAATGCCTGGTCCCTGGAGATGTAATTATTTTATCAGAGAAGAAGTTCTTTCTGCCGTGTGATGCGATACTGATATCAGGGGGATGTGTTGTAAATGAAGGCATGTTGACAGGTACAGTGTGATAAAAAATCTTTTGTGTGTGACTTTTTTAAGACATGTCAACCTCAAAAGCAAACAAAAATTGACTTTTCAATTGACTTTTGTCACATTTTTGAATGAACAGTGATTGCATCCAATCAGATGCAGTCACTGTGTATTCAGCAGCCATCTGTCCTGCCAGCTGCTGAATACAATAGCCAGCTCCATGCTATTTAGCATGGAAGGTGGAATCAACTGATTTCTTTCATTCTTCCATTAATATATATATATTAACTAAAATCAGTGCAAAATAATGATCAAAATATAATTGGTGACAATAAATAAATGAATCAAAATGTGTAATAAGATTGATCAGCAAAGATAATAATAAAAATAAAACCACAGTATATTATTTCAAATATTCAGGAAACAAAACTATGGGGTCTATTCACGAAGCAGCCGAGAGATCATTTTAGCATGGAAGGTGGAATCAACTGATTTCTTTCATTCTTCCATGGGGCTACATTTACTCTGATAATGAAACAGTATTTAATTTATGAAAACAAGCAGGGATCTGTAATTAAGGAGAATCCTTATTAATTTTCACAAATCAACTAATAACCTGTAAGCCGTAGCTTCGGCTGATCCTTCGGCTAGCTTCGTCCCCAGGACCCCTTCCGTTCAGTAGAACCGAAGCCCGTACAGCCCCCGAAGTCGGCCGAGCGGTCCAGTCGAGCCGAAGGCATCTACTTCAGCTAGACTGAGCCGAGGTGAAAGCCGAAGCTGGCCGAAGCTCAGTCTACTTCTGACAGCTGGCCACTTGCAGAGAGATCAGCGTCCCTGGTTACCAGCTAACAGGGACACTGATCTCCAGACAGCAAACTCTCCCCGGGAGTCTCCCGCACCCGGCCGCCAAGGAGCGAAACAATGCTTTTTCTTTTTTTTTTTATTCTGACACAGAGCTGTGTCAAAATAGAATTTTTTTTGGCTTTTAGCGCGGCTCAGCCGAGGCATATGCATTCGGCTCGACTGAGCCGCTCGGCTAAGTTCGGGAGCTGTACGGGCTATTGTGAATAGCCCGTACAGTAGCCCTTCGGTTCTACTGAACCGAAGGGGTCCTGGGGCCGAAGCTAGCCGAAGGATCAGCCGCAGCTACGGCTGCTTGGTGAACAGACCCCATCTTGTTTGAGAAAGTTAGAGAAAGTTTGATCTTTCAGACATACACCAAAGATGAGGTCATTTGTAATGGGAGATTGTAGTTATGTAAATTCTTGTAGTTAATATTATTATCTCTTCGCTTCAGGTCGGTTGTTCACTCGACTGCCTACGGCAGCTTAGTGAATAGACCCCTAAGACATGTGGAGGCTTTAGAATAAAGCAGGTGAAAACATAAACCTAAACCTTTCTCCCCCTACCTTTTGCATAAGACTTTTTGAGATATATTGTTCTAAATAGTATTCTGTTTGTATTCTGAAAATATAGTGTTCTAAATAAATTCTGTGTTTCAAAGGAGAAAGTGTTCCTGTTACTAAGGTTCCACTACCAAATGTGGACAATGGAATCCCATGGATAACATACACTGGGGAAAATTGTCGTGGACATATATTGTACTGTGGAACTGAGGTTGTAAAGACAAAGCTACCTGCTGATGGGATGGTAAAAGCAGTTGTCCTACAAACAGGTGATGCTATTTTAGCAAAATAAGGAGTAAATCTAAGTTTTATACTTTTGTTAGATTATGTTGACAATATTCACTGTTACATACTTTCTTATGGCTGCTATAAATAAATGCCAATAAAATAAAGATTTAAATGAATCAGTGGACACCAACTTTATTGTGATAAGTGTACAGCGGAACTCCAATTTTTGTTTTAGCTTTGGGTAGAGTTGGGAAGGGATAGAGCTGAGGTGATTTTTTTTAAATTGCTGCCTGCGTCTCTATTGAAAAGATATATCCATGTTTTTTCATAGTGATAAATGTGGAGAAATCTCAACACTGACAGTTTCTAGTGGAAAAGGAGGTAAAGAAAAAGGTCCCATATTGCATACCATTCTTAGTGACAATAAAAGTGAAGTTACTTGTTTCTGTATCTCTGGGGCAGAAAATGAGGAAACATCTACCTAAAAGGGACACAAAAAAACCTTATCCTAGTCTAAGAAAATTATATTTGGCTAGTTTTCTGCCTTAGTTGTCATGTCTTGCTTTACCATATGTAAATTAAATGATACATTTGAATTTGTTTGACCTACATCTAAAGTTTCAATATATGTTGACACCTAGGATTCAACACTGCAAAAGGAGACCTTGTGAGATCGATTATATATCCCAAGCCTGTGCATTTTAAACTCCACAGAGAGGTTTTAAAAGTTCTCTTTGGGCTTATTGGTCTTTCCATCACTGGAGTGATATACACAGTTGCAGTTTATTCACTTAGTGGGGTAAGTAGAATTCCTTTTTGCAGGTGCAGTTTCTAACTGCTGATTGTCATAATACCAGACCTAGAAGCAATGCTGTGTCTGAGAGCACTTTAGGACCAATGAACAATTCAAGTAGGCTGCTCAACCTCACAGAGCTCTCCTTTAATTCAATAGAGATACAATATATTGACCACATGAAATACTATTGGCCTTGGTCCCCATGATTTAACTGAGTTTTCTGATACCATTGTTTATTGTGTTTCAAAAATTTAGTTTATGTGCTCAGATGTGGGTCGTCATGCTTTATATGCCAGGACTACTTTGAATTCCCAGCACTAAGAGCTATGTGTGTGTGTGTGTGTGTGTGTGTGTGTGTGTGGTTGTGTGTGTGCAGGGGTATATGCAAATCTTTATTCTCTCCTATACACAATAGTAGTTCTTGCACAAAAAAAGAAAACATATTACCCATGTTTAGCCTCAGGATGCCCATTATATGATCGCTACCTCAGTAGTTGGCCAGTTGTTTGGATCAGTAAATGCTCATATACCTTTAGGCATTATGTGACTTCTCCAGATCCTGTAGCAACCCCCTTCTTGTTCTGCAGACATAAACATTCATTCTTTGATTAACTTAACCTTCATGTTTATAGAAAGAGATATTTTGCAAAAAAAATATTTTAGTCCAGATTGTACCGCATGACTCAGTGCTACCTGATTTCTAGCTTTCTGATTGGCTACCTTTATAAGTAGTCATGTTTTCATTTAAATGGAAGGATTTGTACAACATATCTGTCATGTATGATCTAATGAAACACTTTTGGCAAACAAGTTATATAGAACATACTTGTACCATATGTCTAGACTGTCCCCTCCACACTACATGCTAGCAATTATAAAGCACTAATTTTCTACCTCTATGATACCTTGTAGAGTTCTCAGTAAAATTAACCATAGACTTACATATGCAATCATTTGTATTTGTTTTAGTAATGTTTGTGTCTTCAGTTATATATGGCATATTAGGTTTTATTTATATTAGTGATTTATATAACACAAATATCTTTTACAGCTGAGAACAAAGTGAGGGCATATTGGAGCTATGACAATGACACCACAATATTCACATACTGTATATGTAAAAGTAGTTGAAATGAGAGACCATGTCAAATTAAGTTACAGTTTGAAGAAAGGATAGACGTATTTGGTATGGGAGACTTGTGTAGAGTGCTGTAGAAGTCTACTTGTGGGAGGTGTCCAAGAAAATCATGTGCAGGCAGGGATGTAAGTGTTGTGGCTTATATCGTTTTTAGAAAAGATAGGCTTTGAGGGTTTGCTTAAAAACTCGTAGGGTTAGTGAATATCTAATGGCCTCCGAAGTTCTAGAGAAAAGGTGCAGCACAAAGGAAGTCAGGGATGTATGAGTGAGAAATTGTGACCAATAAAAAACAGAGAAGATGTTTGTAAGTAACATTTCTGATTGGGTGCATATCTGGAGACCAAACAGGCAAAAAAGGGAGCTTTGCTGTTAATGTACAATAATTTTTGTTTTTTCTCTTATGTAGATAACAAAACTTTGATATTGTCACTCTTTCTATTGTAGGCAACAGCTCGAGAATTAGTAATCATGACACTTATCATGGCAACTGTGGCTATACCTGTCTCTTTGCCCCCGGCTTTGACCATCTGCACCCTCTGCTGTCAAGCACGATTAAAAAAGCAAGGCATTTTTTGCATCAGCCCACAGAGGATTATATTGTGTGGACAGTTAAATGTTATTTGCTTTGACAAAGTATGTATTCTTAAATTTTCCGACATTGGACTAAATTATAAAAAAATATAATAAATTCAACAAATAAAGAATTTTCTTTGCTGGGGTTGATTCACTAAAGAAGCAGAGCATGTTCATTTTGCAAAGCAAATGCTTATTTAGCTTAGTGAATGAGGTGAAGCTAAAAACTAATTTTGCAAAGAATACCCAATCATGCAAAAATACAGGTGTTTTGCTCACACATGATTGGATGACAAATGATAGCAAAGCTTAATCTCATTCACTAAGCAAAAAATCACTTTGGAAAGTGAACATGCTCTACTCCTTTAGTAAGTCGATCTCAATGCATTGGTATGCATCGTAGGTACACTCTGATGGCTGGATGTGAGCATGAAAGATTACAAGAGCTTAGAGACACAGATCAAAGAAAATGTATATAGTTTTAAACCAATTTATTGCATTGCTGTAGTACTCTATAGTCTATAGCTGTGAAAAGCCCTATATATATGTGTACGTTCTTGCTCTGTATACGTTTATTACAATGGTTGTTCAAATGTTTTTAATATTTTAAACATACAACATGTTTTTATGTAATCCACAGCAAACACCGCTCAAATTCCTGAACCGGCTTGCAATGTAATTGCATCCCAGTTGCAGGCAAACAAGTGCGCCTATAGCAACCAAATCCGGAAAAAGCAGCACTCCAAGGGTCTTCACCGAAGATAAAAATCTTAATTTATGGAGCAAATACATACTGTTAATTTCTCCCAATGTGTGCTCAACCACTAACGCATTTCACCATTCCAGCTTACTCATAGAGTAGGTTGAGCATGCGTGGGGAGGAACTACCAGTATGTATTTTCTCCATAAATTAAGATTTTTATCTTCGGTGAAGACCCCTGGAGTGTGGCTATCTGAACATGTTTTTTATGAACACAGTCAAATGAACAACGCTTTCTAGAACAGGTATTTTGTTTTCAATGGAGCATGTATGTCCAATTGGAACAGAAAAAAAAAACACATTGGGGCCAATTTACCAAAGCAGTGATTTCAGACTGCCCGGTGTTACCAAATAACACACGCAGGCATGCACTTTGGTCTTCTGTTGGGTAATAATTAGGGATGTCCCGATGCCACTTTTTCAGGCCCAAGTACAAGTATAAAAAAAAAAACATAGCGCAAGCATTTGCGATATGAATCGGGGCATTTCGACAAGTACTTGTCAAAATGCCCTGTATCGGGCCCGATTCCGATGCTAGCATCGGTATCGGGACGTCCCTAGTAATAATGTTTTAGATGTCTTTCTGCTTTTTTTATTTGTAAAACTTACCTTCAGCTCTGGGGAGCTTAAATGCAAGCTGTAACCTTAAGTATACAAATATACCACAGCATCATTCAAAATTAAAAGCAAATGTACACAATCAAGTTTGATTTACTAAAGGAGTATGCTCACTCCTGAGTATCATGAAATCAACATCTTCAAATGCACCAAAAATGAAATGTTTGCTTCCTCATGATCGGATGACTTAAAGCAGAACTCCAGGGAAAATAATGATTAACCCTTGCAGTTGGGCTACCCCCACACTGCAAGGGTTAACTGCTCATTTTGGACTAGTGTGGAAAATAACAAAGCTACACTCACCCGATTCTCGGAGTGGGCTGCTGTGACAGCGCTCCCTCCAGTCTATCTCCTCCTAGCAGCAATGGAATGTCCCTAAGCATCCTCACATCCTATACACTACATATAGAACGTGATGACTCGAGAACCTTAGACTGTTGCAGTGAAGGGGGAGAAAAGCCCCAGTGGATCAGGTGAGTATAACTTTTTTTATTTTCCTCCCTAGACACAAACACTTAACTCTTGCTGTGTGGGGGTTGCCCCACTGCAGAGGTTAATAATATTTTCCCCCAGAGTTCTTTAAGTGAACACAGCTTCACATTTTTCACGAACCTGATTGAACATTTACCTTGCAAAGTACAGTCTATGTTCCTTCAGAAAATCATCCCCTATATATGTATGTCTATATGTGTGGTATATTTAGTGCTTCGGAGGCCCTTTGCATAATAAAAGAAAAAAAATCTGTAGATACCATCAACATTGGAGATCACTCAAATGGATCCTATATTAGCATTAATGGTTGTTTTTCTTGATTAGGCTTGCTTATCTAAAACCTGTCTTGTTAATTTACCAGTTTATTTTACCTCAGACAGGTACTTTAACTGAAGATGGTTTAGACTTATGGGGTATCATTCCTTCAGATAGAGGCCGGTAAGTTTTATATTAATCTCAATAGTAATTATTTTGCTGATATTTTGTGTTTCAATTTGTTTCTTTGTATGAATATAAATAATAATAATAATGATAATAATAATAATTGTAATTAATTCTATGAACAAAATATAGGTAAAAGAAAATGAATAGCTTATATTAAAAAAGTTTATTTAAATATATTTTGATTAAAAAAAGACATATACATACATTTATGTATTGGGTTTCCAATCAGCTGAATCAAAAGTAGTTCTGTATGCTCAAAAAGTAAATGCTTTATCTATGGGGGTAAGAGAGACTCAACCACTGCCAGTCATGATCTGGACACAAATGAGATAGATTCTACTAAACTGGTGAAGCCATTAAATGTATTTTTTTTAATATTGATGTATTGCTTGTGTGACTAATAAATGCATGGTTGTCTTTCAGTTTCCAGGAAACCTTTCATGTTACATCTGGTTGCACATTACCCTGGAGCACTTTGACTGGAGCAATGGCCAGTTGCCATTCATTGGTTCTACTAGATGGAAAAGTGCATGGTGATCCACTTGACATCAAGATGTTTGAAGGAACAGGCTGGGTAATATCTACAAAAAATAACTTACAGAATGTTTTTCCTCTATACTTATAAGCAATTTAACATTATATTATGTAAAGAGCTTCCCATGACCACTGTGGCATGTGTCACCATATCCTAAAATAACCATCCCTTCTGATGAGGGTCCTTTAGATTTACGATGTATCCCTACATTGTATTAAACTAAGGCCAAGGCCATTTGTTGTCATTACTGCTTAGTTCTCAAGGAACTGTAATTTCATATCTAAGCATTACCCTTTAGTTTGCTTTATTTTCTATTGTAGGAACTGTATATTCTGGCACATAGTTAAAATAAAGTACAAAATGGCTGATCACATATTAAAGTCTAGGGTATAACTTCTTTCCTTAGGAACTCAATGAAATCAAGGCAGACAATAGCTCAAGGCTGTATACAATGGTCACTCCAGGACCTGAAGCACAGTGTGTAAGTCATATACAGTTATTTAGTAATAATAAAGTATATCCAGTAATATATATTAGACAAAAATGCTTTGGTCTGTCAAAGCTTATGCAGTAATGTTTTTTCTAAATTTGTTACTGAACTAAACAGAGCTGACTTTCAGTCTACTAGATCTTCAAAAGAAGCCTTAAGCCTAAAACAATACTAGTTTTTACAAGTGTCTTCATAAACCAAAAAGTTTCTCATCAATTTAGTACATTTAGATTCTGGAAGGTCATTGTGAGGGAATTAGTATTACGCATGGTTGTCTAGTCACATCTGGAAGCTGCTTATGTTGGCAGTAGCTTGCTAAAACCAAAGCTGCTTCTGAAAGCACTTTCTAAACGATGCTCCCCCACCATGTAAGCTCCGGGTCATGTCCACCTGCTCACTACCTCATTTGCAGAGGTCTATGCTTACTGACATCATTGGTGCCATTGCTTAAAATAAATTGCTAGAGTTCAAGAATTCATACCACCCAAACAACATGTCTGTGAAAACTGGAGCTTACTACAACATTTACTGCCAGGTCCCTGCAGACTTTCTGCTGCAGTTAAGGTGATCTTTATGGTCATTTCTGTTTTTGGAGCCCCTGTGATAGCCATATAAATTTCTTGTTATCATAAAATTTTAGTTTCACAGAAAAATGCAAACATGCCAAGACATTGGATAGTCTGAGGGTTCTTTTTCAAGAGAAAATTATGGGGTCTATTCACGAAGCTGCCAAAAGATCTAGCCGTAGCTTCGGCTGATCCTTCGACTAGCTTCGGCCCCAGGACCCCTTCGGTTCAGTAGAACCAAAGGGCTGCTGTACGGGCTATTCACTATAGCCCGTACAGCTTTCCGAAGTTGGCAGAGCGGTTCAGTCGAGCCGAAGGCATAAGGTGAAAGCCGAAGCTGGCCAGCTGTCATTTCATGGCTGGCTCCGGCCACTTGCACAGACAGATCAGCGTTCCTGGTTAACAGGTAACCAGGGACACTGATCTCCAGACAGCCTAACTCTCCCGGACGCTCCAGGAGTCTCCCGCTATTAGATAGCGGCTCCCAGCCACCCAGGCGAGAAACACTTTCTCCCAGAAAGGTTTACTCTGCTCGATCGAGCAGAGTAAACCTTTCCCTGCTCTGTTTTTTTTTTCTTCTGACATCGGAGCCGTTGGCTGCCATCAGAATAAAAAAAATGTAAAAAAATAAAATCTCCATAGGAATGCATAACTAGATTCCCATTGGCTATTTCAATTTGCAATAGCCAATAGCAAACTAGCTATTGTACCCACCCACTGCTGCTGTCAATCAGCAGAGGGGACCTGAAGTTCTCCAACAGGTCCCATCTAATGATTGAAAGCAGCAGAGGGCGGGTGCAATAGCTAGTTGGCTATTGGCTATTGCAAAGTGAAATAGCCAATAGGAATCTAGCTATGCATCCCTATGGTGATTTTTCTTTTTTTTATTCTGACAGCAGCAGAACCTACCTCTGCCCAATAGTTTTCCATTTCATTTTTTACTACTTTTTAAACAGTTTTTCTATTCTGCTCAGTACCACGGAGGTACCGAGCAGAAGAGCTGAGCTCGGCGGCATTCGGCAATTCACTCACTGCTGTTCGACATCTATGAGAATAGGCCGAACAGCAGCGAGTAGCCTGCTGGAGTTTTGGCTTAGCTGATCCAGATGTTGGATCGACTTAGTCGAACTCCTTCTGCACTTCGGGTCGGCCGAACATGCTGAGCATGTTCGGCC